AGCCGCGGAGAAGTGAATCACAGTGATCTGCTATTTTAAAGTAAATTCAACACATATCGACCCTAAATATAGCATATATTAAGAACGAGAAAGTGTTAACATCGTTTTTTGTAAACATATGACCAATGTGCGAGGGTGATGACATCAGAGCATCGTCCTATGGGCTTAGCCCCGGACAGGTACAACAGGTATTCACTCAGAGGGGGGTAGTTACTCATTTACATGTCAAAAAGCAACATACAGTAGGCGGGTGGGGGATGGTGAACGTTTACATTTCTCTACAGCAGTGGTTCCCAAACTTTTTGTGCCCAAGGCACACCAAAGGACAAGTAAAAATCTCAAGGCACACCTATTGTGCGAAATAGCCCTTATAACACGTGTTATCACTCATATCATGTAAAATATCTGTAAATGTGCATAATTATTTACTAATGCCAAATAAAATGTATAGATAGAACAATCAGTGGTTCAAGTTAGTATATTCCTCAGTGTAACATATCCACTAGTTGCAAAGCTTAAACATTTTTATATATTTTTTTATTTTAAGGGAAAGGATGTTTTCACTACTCAGTTTGTCAACTATGTTACGGACAAACTTGATGTCATTACAATCATTTGATTAAGTCCTGCACTTCAAGTAAAATCAAATTTGAAAGGCTCTTGAGTCTATTCTACCATATATCCAAAGATTTTTTAAAGTTTAAAAAATAATTGTATTAAAGTTTTGTTTTTTCATGTGATATGTTCAGCACTGTCATTAAGTTTAGGGATATTTTGTATTATAAAACTACCATACAGGTCATTTTGATAGTTTTAAGAGATGTCATGTAAAACTCCAACCTGTGTAGATATACATTATACTATAAAGGATATCAGAAGCACTATTTTAGATATTTTAAATTTGAAAAAATGAGGTGCAACATAGTTGACAATGAAAGTCAAACATTTGACGCAAATAACATAGTTGACTGGACACATTATTAACCATCAGCACTATGTTCATTTCAAGGCAGAAGTGCAAAATTCCATTGATAATGATGTGTAATGACGTCTACATGTCGTACAAATTGTCAACTAGGTTACCTGTCAACTAAGTTACTACAGTTATTACAGTACTGGGTAACTCAGTTGACAGGTAACCTAGTTGACAATTTCCCTATTTTGACCCATCATTTCAATGGTAGGCCTTGCCTGGATGACCACATGTCATTTTCTTGAACAGGTTAACATCACATTTGCACATATAATTGAATTAAAATCATTAAACAATTGTAAACCATAACAATGTACGTAACATTGTTGATTGTCAATGAGTATATTAATTGACCATGTGCTATTATACATAAAATATTGTAAAAATGTAGAGGACAATCACCACAGTGTGTTCAAAATGTCTGCCAAAGAGGAACATGGCATCATGTGATGCTGGTGACATGGTATTGGGACAAACAATTTTTGAGTTAAAGGGGGAAGTTCTGTTAGAAACATAGTTGACAGAACTTTTGCGGACATTCATATATTAAGATATTTAAATTATTTAAAGGGGGAAATCAATTAAAAATATGTTATTATTCTTTAGTATTTAGACTTTTGAAATAAATGAATCATTTTTTAAATTTACTTTAATGGTTTTTATTCATTATTTTGAATCCAAGACACCCTCAACTGAAAAACGGACATAGCAAAAACTGACAATTTAAGAACATCATGACACATTTCAAGCTAAATAAAGCATAGGATGCACATAATGTTTGTGTGATATTATAACATGCTTTCCAATAATAGGCAAAATATGATATTTTTGAAGAAAATAGTTAGAATAATTATAATTATCATCAATGGACATCAATGGACATGGAATGTACCCTAAATTGTAGAATCACTCAGCAGTTACATACACCAAACCTTCCAGTTATATTCCTATCAATATTATGAAGGCTTTTACAGAAGGGTTTGGTCATATATAATTCATAGCCTGAATTATATAACATTTTATACCTAAAAACATGGTGAAAATTGATATTTTAGGGCTGTTGACAGTATTTTCTGATTTATGGAGTGATACAAAGAGATATCCAAAATCCCTTCTGTAAAAGCCTTAGATACTAATATGACTACAAAATGAAACAATAATTTTGATCCTGGCTTTATCCAAAGTTCAGATTTCGGTTCCTGAAATGTGTTAAAATATGCGCATATTTCATGAGATAATGGTTCATTTGGATATTTAAACATGCTATTTCAGAAAACTTGTAATACAAAAAACAATTGCCTTATTGTAAGTAATTAACTGGAGAAATATTTAGCTGATATCTTTAAGTTAAAAATACCCTATTCACCTGGGGTGTCTCGCCTTAATTAGATGTTTGATAAGTGCAGATCACATAGTAAAACACGTACACAGATACATTATTTTGTATTTTTATTAAATTCGACAATGTCAATTTCACTTTCCACTATGTCCACCGTTGTTTTTCACAACGAATGGCAGAACTTTATTGAGGCCTGTAATTAGTCAACTACAGGTCTCTTGAGTCAGTCTTTTTCTTCCAAAAAGCTTGTGACAAGATGTTATTGCTCTTGGGGCATTAAAAACAAGATTTTAACTTTAGTTTTTTATATAATATCTGCATTTTCTATTGTGAAAAACTAAGTCTTAGTTATTTAATATATAGCGCCATCTCCTGGTTAAACCCTGAAATTGGAGAATAGTGGGAGGGCCCTAACATTCCTGAATACTGGTCTTTGGCAGGCAACTGGCTGGCAACTGGCTGGCAGTCGGCAGGAAGCTGTATGCTGGAGTCCAAAATAAGAGGCTCCATCTGTATAAATAAACTTGCCTTGCCTTGCCTTGCCTTACAACAGCCGACATACACTTTTGCAGTTTAACATTATTCACAGAACCTACTTTACACCAAAAAGACTTCATAGGATAAATCAATCAATTTCAGATATTTGCCCTAGATGTACTACAGAGACAGGTAGCCTAATTCACATGTTCTGGGACTGTAATAAATTAAAGCACAAATGGGGGTCAATATGGAAGATTCTTAAAGAGATTTCTGAGATTCCTTGTACACCCAAATTAGCCCTGATAGGCGACATTTCTGACATCCCTTCACACAAAAGGAATAAGGTGCGCCTAATCAAACTGGCCATGATTGCTGGCAACAAATGTATTGCTCTATTATGGAAGAGTGCAGAACCCCCCATAAGTAAGTAAGTAATTAAGTAAAGTTTATTTATAAAGCGCTTTTCACAGACAAAGTCACAAAGTGCTTGACAAAACAATAAGACATCCACATAGGAGGCGTACAATGCTCAATGAACCCACATGTTAAGAAGTCATAAAAGCACCAGAGCATAATTAAGACACAATAAAAACACAATAAAACAAAACTTACAAATGAAATTTAAAACAAACAAAATAAAAACATAGTATTAAATGGAATAAGATCAAGCACACCGGTTACCCAAATGCCTGACCAAACAGGAATGTCTTTAAAATAGTTTTAAAAGAGTGAACAGACATAGCCATGTGGCTCGAAGAAATATCCTTCTACATGATGTCAGAAAAAATTATGTTCAATCTTAACAGAAAGCCACATCTCTTTGATAAGTGCTGGTCTGGCTTTAGGAATTATATAGAAAACATCCAACAACCTATTGCAGATTGAAGAAATGCTATGACGCATTGCATCGGCTGAGGCAAGTAGTTGAATCTTTCTTTCTCCTTTTTTGACGATTACTGCACAGTGTGGCCCTGTCTGGAGGTAGGGGTGGGAGGGACTGGTCTTAGGGGTTTTCTGTTTTGTCATATCATTGTGTATTTTGGTTTATTTTTGTCAATGCTATTACTGTAATGGTCTTTTTATGTTATGATCATTATTGTTTTGTCATTGTTTTGTCGTCTTTTTGTATTTCTTTTTTATATAGCACCTGCAATTGTACTCTGTATTCTCTCCTGTTATTGTGTTATGTGTGGAAAAAACAAATAAATAAAGTGTTAAAAAAATAAAATAATACATTTCTAACTGAAATAAATGTATTTCCAGAAATATCTAAGAACTAAGGGTTTATCTTCTTTTATAACATCTGCCAAGACAATATAATGAATTCCTCATTAGCCTAACTTTGTTTAGGTCCTTAAAAGCAAAGACAATTTATGTACATGGAAAACAAAAAACGGAAACAAACTTCTGAGTCTAAGGTTATCCCAGTTGGGGGGACACGGATGTCTGAATTAGAAGGAGCACCTCTATACACGTCACATGTAGGTGCAAGGATAATTTAAAAAAGCTTTGACTACACAAACTCCAGGCATTGGTTTGTGTAGTCTAACCATGTGGTTAGACTACACAAAAAAAGCTAACGCTTTTTATTACATACGCTACCTACAGTACAGAGTAATTTGGGGTGAGGGATCTAGCCCAAGGATACTACGACATGTTGACTACAGTGAGTGTCATAGCGGGATTGAACCAGCAATAACCTGATTTCTAGATCAGCAAAATAAACCACTTAACTAAAGCTTCTAAAACCACAAATAGTATTTAAATCAACAATGTGTTGGTCCCCATCTAAGAAAAAAAAAGTGAATTCTCAAGTTATAGTGCAACTGTTCTCTTTAAACATAAAGGTCCGATGCCTCAATTAATGCATCACATTTGTTGAGATATTTTTAGCACGTAATACAGTACAGTACAGTTAAATGCTTCATAAATAATAATCAAAATGCAAAAGAAGCCATTTAAAAAAAAATGTAAATGTTGTTTAATAAATGATATTATTGTAATTTATGTACATACCCTGCTGAAATTGAGTTCTTGAAGGATGTGCAGTTGCACACAGCATTACCTCAGTTTAAATCATAGTTACAGTCTTTGGATAAAAAGTTATTTGTTATAAACAAGAAGCTGCAGGACTCATGATTTCATGGTAAAGATACACAGCAAACTGCATGCATCAGCTCATTAACAAACAACATTAAGTGTACTTACTGTAGAGATGTGTGTGATCCTCTGAGGCAGTGCTGTAGTTTCACAGGTTATATTGTCTCTGAGAGAGAAACGCCCCCAAATCTTTATTCATTAACAGGAGGCGGAACTGAGGAGAACCGGGATGATTTCCAAGAAATTACCTGCAGAATAGTGCAACACGTCTACACCATCCGTATGCGTTTGTGATAGGATAAATGTCACAAACGAAGGATAAATGTTACAGGATTTTAAAAAGTAAAATGTTTTTAAGGCAGTTCAAATAAAACGTTCTCAATATTTTTTTTAAGATTGTACATTTTAGAAACCTTGTATCCAAAAACTCTAGGTCGCAAAGTCGGAGCAGATGACCTATTGATATCGCCAACATTTTTATTATTAATAATTTGTTATGCAAACTCTCAAACAAGGAGCATTTTTAACTGAAAATGTTGTGATTTTAAAGAACTTCATCTGCTGGTAGAAGTTATTCATAAAACATATGAAAAAGAACGCTGGGTGTCCGTGACAACCTTGGGTTCTCGTGACCTGAAGAGCTGAATTCTTACCCTTCTGGTTTTCCAGGCCTTTTGTTTTTCTTGTACTCAAGCCAACCTGCCATTTGAGCCCTGAGTTTCACTCACATTTTTTAAATTGCAAAGCTTGTGCGCTTCTGTGGAACGCTGTGTTCTCCACTAACAGGAAATAATTATTTAAAGGCTTAAGAATGCTTGGCAAACGCATTAACAGTGATAAACGTAGTTTACTGATATGATCATTTTAGTTTGGTGCAAGATCTTTTTCTTTTGTGGCCCTCACATAACTTTAAAGAAGCAGCCGTAACTGTACATTTGACCTACGTGCACGATATTCACACAAAATGTGTATAACAAATAGACTTAAAAAAGTATCTTGGGGCTTTTGTCTTAAAACCCACAAGAAATTGGCAATTTTTCATTTAGTGTGTTTCTTTTGTGTTTTTTTTGGCCCTTTTTAGGATTTGAAATCAATCTTAACTGGCTTCAGACAATTTTGGACATAGGTTTACCAGCTTTCAACATAAGACTACATTTCTGCTCAAAATATGATCTTGTGCTATATTAAGTTGAGGAGTAACATTTGTTATGCAAACTCTCAAACAAGGACAGTTTTCAACTGAAAATGTTGTGATTTTAAAGAACTTCATCTGCTGGTAGACATTATTGATACAACATATGTAAAAGAACCTTGGGTTTGCGTGACCTGAAGAAGTGAATTCTTACACTTTCGGTTTTCCAGGCCTTTTGTTTTTCTTGTACTCCAGCCAACCTGCCATCTGAGCCCTGAGTTTCACTCACATTTTTTAAATAGCAAAGCTTGTGTGCTTCTGTGGAACACTGAGTTCTCTACTAACAGGAAATACTTCTTTAACACTAGAACCGCCAGAGATTTTTTATACCTAAAACCGCCACCTGGGTCAAATTGACCCGCTATTAGAATGCATTGATTTTCAAGGTAAAATGTTCTTTTATTGAACAGAGAGTTTTGATCGCACAGGGATGAAAACGTATACCAATATAATCTGTGGACTCTCAGGGCTCGACATTATAAATGGCCCGCTGGGCAGGAAGCATTATTTAGACACCGCGGCCAGCATAACGTACTTTCAACTCGCCCCACAGCTGTTTGCTGCGGAGCGCAGTGCGAGCAGTCTCCCGTGAGCGGGAGCACACTCCTTCACTACAGACTGTCTCTATCTCTCTCTCTCTCTCTCTCTCTCTCTCTCTCTCTCTCTCTCTCTCTCTCTATAACTATCTATCAATATATCTATCCATCTATCTCTCTCTCTCTCAATCTATCTCTCAATCTATGAGGAGGAACCGCAGTAGACAAAAGGCGTTGCTATAGCAACACGCAGTGGCGTTTTTATATGTACAAAAGTGGTGGGGCACAAAAAAATGTGATGTCTATATATAAGCTTCTGCAGTGACGTGCAGTGACGTGCAGTGAGGTTCATGGCTGGTGAGGCACTGGCACTGACTCTTCAGGTTTACAAATATTATATTTTGACCTAAACCAAAATATAATATTATTTTCAAAAGCTTTTTTTGTCTGATGCTTCGATTAATTTTAAACAGACAGTTCAACAAAAGGATACCCAAAAAATGTAATTTTATCATTTAAATATTGAATTGTTCTCTCTTAGTAAGATCCCATTTTCAATAAAATGGCGGTCTTTTTTGTAAAAGTCCTCCTTATCTTCTTGTAGTTTCAAAAGTCTATCATAAATCTAATCGATAGATTTATGATAAAAAAATTATAAAAGTAGGGTAGACATGTGGATGTTATCCGGCTAATCAAAACGTGCATTTATCTAACAGGTACGTTTCCCACAGATCTTATTTCGAGCTATTTTCTAAAATCCTCTGGAGAAATCTCATTGCTTTTTTGTGCTTACTTCCTGGTTTTAGGACGCGCCACTGCAGCTCTCTCGTCTCCTCTTCAAGCACCACACTTTTCGCGGCACACGTACTTACAGCCAATCAGCTCTGAATGATTTGAGATGACGTATGGTAGGGATGGTAGCTCCGTGCCCCTCTGGTCATTATTTTTTTGCCACACACATTACTTGGAAAAATACTCTGAGCATGCGCAGTGTAGTTTTTACAGTCACCGTTCACTTCACAGCGAGAGGAAGGGGCATAATCAGGTTTTGTCCCACATGGCTCTAAACAGCTCAATAGGCACACACTGTGACTGTAGACACACTAATTAGAAGAACACAGACTAAAACAGCAATGTACAGACGAATCAGATGATTAAACATGATCTTAAAATATATTTTATATATTTTTTTATTTATTTTTTTGCATTTTTGTAATCATTATTTGTAATACTTTCTGCTGACACTAGGTGGGGCTGTGCCCCACCTGCCCCTAATGACCAGTCGCCACTGGCAACACGTCATGTTTATATGAAAAGGGGTGGGGTCAATATGACCCGCTTGGCGGAAATAGGTATAAATGGCAATTTTTTGGGTGATTTCTTCAATCTGACTTCATATTGACAATTTTTAACAACAGAGGGTGGTACATAACACACTTTCAGGAAAAGTCACGGACTGGGAGACTTTAATATTTTATTGAAAAAAAGTTACATCAAATATAAAACAGCTCGGGGTCAAATTGACCCCGTTGGCGGTTCTAGTGTTAAAGGCTTAAGAATGCTTGGCGTACGCATTAACAGTGATACATGTAGTTTACTGATATGATCATTTGAGTGCTGTGAAAGATCCTTTTTTTTGAGGGGCCCCTAAATAACTTTAAAGAAGCAGCCGTAACTGTACGTTTGACCTAATTGCACGATATTCACCCAAAATGTGCATAACAAGTAGCCTTTTTTCCCCCGTACTGCTTCCAACCTGCCATGTGAGCCCCTAGTTTAACTTACTTTTTTTTTTAATTGTTTATTTTTAAAGCATTTTCTTTATTTGATCCTAGAATTGTTTCTCTTATTGAATTATTTATGAATATGCATTAATTTGCCCAACTCCTGCAATGTTTTAAAAAACGGTAATTGAAAGCTATGACATTTGGTAGGCATAGGTAGCATGGTCAAACGCACAGAAAAAGCATCTTGGTGTCATATGGACAAATGAAGTCTAGACTGGCCAGCCGGCCGAATAGCACGGGAGGCTAGGGCCCATTCAACGCTGCATGCAGCTTTAATATTTTTTCAAATTATTGTTATAATTATGTTCACCAGAATTCTAGGAGAAACGGGAAGTAAGATTAAATAATAAACTTCACACTTTTGGCAAGGGTCCCGCCCTGAAGACATCAACCGGCTGATTTTGAATCATAGTCTTAGCCCCATCTAGTGGCCACATGAAGCTACTCCTGCTATACTTTTACTTACAGCTCTCAGCAGGTTACACAGATCACCTTCATATTTGGTCAGCTAAATGTTAACACCTTCACCTTGCCACCCTGCATAGCTTTCGAGCGTCCGCGGAACGGTGTTCATCCAGCAACGCATGATTGGCCATGAAACAGGAAGTTATGTTTTAGGGCTTAGGGATTCACACACATTCTAAAACTAATTTATAATAAAGAAGCCCTCACTGTACATTATACCAAGATAAAATATACTGTATTTGCACAACACATACTTACTTGCCGTACTCTTGCAGCCAGAGACACTCGCCATGTCACACAAAGTCGTTGTTACTTGAGTGTACAGTCTCAAAAATGCCTCACATGTCATGCTTGATTAGAATCCTGGCAGGAAGTTAATGTTGCTAGACTTTAGTTTACAGCTCTTGGCAGATAAACCAGATATGCTTCATATTTGGTTAACTCAATGTTAAGATAGAGACCTTGGCAGACCGCAAAGCTTGTGCTCTTTTGTGGAACGCTTTGTTTGCCTTTAACAGGAAATAGCGTTCAGGCACATTGGGCGAAGCAAAAATGGCTTGGCAGCTGTTTTTCTTGTACTCCAGCCAACCTGCCATTTGAGCCCTGAGTTTCACTCACATTTTTTAAATTGTGAAGCTTGTACGATTGTGGAACGCTGTGTTCGCCACTTCTTTAAAGGCTTAAGAATGCTTGGCGTACACATTAACAGTGATAAACGTAGTTTACTGATATGATCATTTTAGTGCTGTGAAAGATCTTTTTTTTGAGGGGCCCCTAAATAACTTTAAAGAAGCAGCCGTAACTGTACGTTTGACCTACGTGCACGATATTCACACAAAATGTGTATAACAAATCGACTTAAAAAAGTATCTTGGGGCTTTTGTCTTAAAACCCACGAGAAGTTGGCCATTTTTCATTTAGTGTGTTTCTTTTGTGTTTTTGTGCCCTTTTTAGGATTTGAAATCAATCTTAACTGGCTTCAGACAATTTTGGACATTGGTCTACCAGCTTGCAACATAAGACTACATTTCTGCTCAAAATATGATCTTGTGCTATATTAAGGTAAGGAGTAACATTTGTTATGCAAACTCTCAAACAAGGACAATTTTCAACTGAAAATGTTGTGATTTGAAAGAACTTCATCTGCTGGTAGACATTATTGATAAAACATACGTAAAAGAACCTTGGGTGTGCGTGACCTGAAGAAGTGAATTCTTACACTTTCGGTTTTCCAGGCCTTTTGTTTTTCTTGTACTCTAGCCAACCTGCCATCTGAGCCCTGAGTTTCACTCACATTTTTTAAATTGCGAAGCTTGTGTGCTTCTGTGGAACACTGTGTTCGCCGCTAACAGGAAATACTTCTTTAAAGGCTTAAGAATGCTTGGCAAACGCATTAACAGTGATCAAAAGGTTTACTGATATGATCATTTTAGGTAGGTGCAAGAATATTTTCTTTTGTGGCCCTCACATAACTTTAAAGAAGCAGACGTAACTGTACGTTTGACCTACGTGCACGATATTTGCACGGAACGTGTATAATAAGTAGACTTAAAACAAGAGCCCCATGTGTTTCTTTCGTGTGTTTTTTTGTGCCCTTTTTAGGATTTGAAATCAATCTTAAGTGGCTTCAGACAACTTTGGACATTGGTCTACAAGTTTGCAACATAAGAAAACATTTCTGCTCAAAATATGAACTTTCAAACTAGGAAGAATTTGAACTGAACATTTTTTACTTAAAAGAACTTCATCTGCTGGTAGACATTATTGATAAAAACATATGTAAAACAATCTTTCGATAATATCTTATCGAGATGAGTGCAAAAAACCCCCAGCAGATTAACTTTCATGTTCATGGTGTGGCATTTCTGGGAAATAGGTGTGTGTGTGTGTGTGTGTGTGTGTGTGTGTGTGTGTGTGTGTGTGTGTGTGTGTGTGTGTGTGTGTGTGTGTGTGTGTGTGTGTGTGTGTGTGTGTGTGTGTGTGTGTGTGTGTGTGTGTGTGTGTGTGTGTGTGTGTGTGTGTGTGTGTGTGTGTGTGCATGCATGTGTGCATGTGTGTGTGGTGTATAAGTAGCAGCTAAAGAACTCGCAATGTCATGACGATCAGAGAAGACCTGAGTGGTAAGTTGCTTAAAAAACTCTTTCACACTTTTTAAATTCCATTGTTAAGGTGACAGTGAATTTTTGTAAAAGCAAAATGGCATGATTAAGTTTTAGTTTTAATATTGTTTAAATATGAGTTTATTAGGGCTTGGGCACCAACAAAGTAGGAGCATAGGATTATTAAAATCTTAAAAAACTACCCTCTGCTTTAGTTATTGGTTCTTTAACAACATCAAAAAGATCTTACTTTAACATTTTATTTCAGTCAGTGAGATTTTATGGTGATATATATATTTTTCGATAGTCACATAATAGGAATCATGGATGTATAAAGGGGTCTGTGGGGGGGAAGGTTGGGGTAATGTTTGATTGAAATGGTTATTTAGGTAGTCAACTAAGATACCTAAAGCACCAAAGACATACATTTTGGCAAAAATGTGGAATATGATCATTGTCTTGAGTTTTAAACTACTGGGGTCAAATTGACCCCAGAGGATAAAGGGTGTAAAGTCAATCTGAGGATAACAGGAGGATTAAGTTATTATTATTAGCATAAGAAATTGCATTTTTAGTGTCCTTAAAAGCTGGATTTTATTGGCACACTTGTCAGGACTGTGATATTTAAGGGGTCTTGATCTCACGCGTGGGCTCTATAGAGGCCCCTAAAATGTTGCTAAAAATCAGCCCCTCATTCTTCTTTGACCTACAGATATGAAATTTGGTAGGAATATGTAGCATGGGGAAAGGTACAAAAAAGCCCCATGGTGTCATATCATTAACCCAACAGGAAGTCAGTCGTTTTGAATTTCATGCGCAATTTCTGACCATATTTTTCACTTTTGCGTGCTATATTTGAACAAATGTCATCCAATCAACTATCGTTACATTTTGGTAGGTACCATCTTAAGACCTAGTGGAGCAAAACATATCAAAAGCTTTACTCTACATCGAACGCCCTCCCCACGGTGTGGCGGTTAAAAGCGCAGGAAGTTGCGGTTAGTAGAGCAAACATTCTTTAATATGCTCCAGATTTCTCATGGATGATAAGAGTCCAGGCATGAAGACATCTACACGTTAATATTGATCTATATACATAGTGCTATCATAGTTGATTATTTAGACCTCTCAAAAATGTTGTCTTAACCTGTTAAGCCCTGAGCCTGTTTTTTAGGTCTCAGGCTCGAAAATGATATTCCCAGAACAAATGACCATATCTTCCCTTCTAAAAGGGTTAAATTAATAATCTTTTTTCTCAAAGTAATGATAAACCTGTGAGTTGGATGTAGAAAAGTCAGAATCAATATAGATGTTTTTTATTTTAAAGAAAATTTAGATTTTACATTGTAAAAATCTGTAAATTATAGTGTCCGTCCAAAAATGTTTTTTTACTTATAGTGAAAACTACCCTTGGATGATGGTAAGGTAGACTAAAAGCTTTAGGGATCCAAAGTACAACATATAATAAGTACCCTGTATCAAGATTGATGCAAAACAAGTGACATTTGACCTTTTTAGAGAGATTTAGCAAAAAGAAACCACTTCTGGGGTCATTTGGCCTTGCACCTCTTTCTGACCGTTACAGCCAATAGAATCGAAGGGGGAGTCCCCCACACACACTCATTGTGAAACAAAAAGGTGGGGGCTTCGCGCATGTAATGTAAGTTACTGTTGTTAGACTTTGGCTTACAGCTCTTGGCAGGTAAACTAGATCACCTTCATATGTGGTCAGCTCAATGTTAAGATATTCCCCTTGGCAGACTGCAAGCTTGTGCGCTTTTTTGGAACGCCATTAAAATGAATTACTTCTTCACCGTGATAAACTTCTTAACAGTGATAAACTTAGTTAACTGATATTATTATTGTAGTTTGGTGCAAGTTTTTTTTGGAGGGGGCCCGTACATAACTTTAACAAAGCAGCTATCACTGTACCTTTAACCTACATGCATGATATTTGCACATACGATAACAAATCTTTCTGCAACATGGAGCGCCCTTGGCGGGGCATCACCGTCATTTTGAGACACTTACCATGTAACACAAAGTTGTTTTAACTCCAAACTGCCCTTCATTTATTGTGTTTGATGAGAGTCCCAGCCTGATGACTTTTAAAGGTCGACATCAGGTCATAGTAATAGTGCCACTGACTGGCATCACTAAGTCAGCATAAAGAACATCATCTGATTTACTTGATAATTTCAATTTGTGTTCCACACGATATAGAGCAAGATGCTCTTTGTTAAAAGTGTATTATCTAGCACCACATAGTGGACAGCGGAGGTGGAAGACTTACAATATCTCATTTTCATTGCATTAAACTCAATGCAATAGGTAGGGTGGGGTTATACGAAAGTATTTTATTTAGTCAATGTAGTGTGATGTGCAGACTATGATTTACAAATAATATAATAAAAAACTGTTTTTAATTAACTAATCATATTAAATAAATACTTAGTTATTACAATCTATTGACATGTGAGAAACACAGCCACAGGAGAATGGATGACTAAATGTGACTGATGACTGACTGTTGAACTTTAAAATAGAAATACATAGAAGTACAACTTTGTATTTGCTTTATTTTAGGAATTTGGGGTCCAAAGCAGCATGTTGAAATATCAGAAGCTGGGTTTAACTGAGTGACGGGACTGAGAACGGCCAACAGCCAACAGAGGTTTGTTGTAATTCATTGTCAGTAACAGTTTCTTTGTATTTAATACTAGTTTTTTCAGGGGATTGAAATAAATGTTTTCACAACTTCCCATGAAAATAATGACCTTTTCATGTTGTAGATAGTAAATGTACTCATTAAATACGTTAAAACAGCAACTATTGATTGGCCAAATAATTCAAGTAATATTAAAATGGTAAGGATTTATTAAAGTTTGAGATTAATTTAATTCTTTCTATAAAACTGTCCACACACAACTTTTATCCTACAGAACACCGTAACTGTTGGACCATATGATGTGGCTGTATTAAATATACTGGTGAAATGTCATTTATTATTCTGACAAAACTGCATCCACTCTGCTCCTGGCACTCCTGCAAGCCAGCTGATAATGACCAAGTTGCTTGCTTACAAATGGCAACTTTTTTTTTTGATTCCTGGAGATTTAGGTTATTAACAGTGTTCTTTTGGGTTCCTATCTTTAATGATACCCTTTCATAGCTAAACGCGTCAATCAGACAACAACAAAAAGGGATTTTGCACTCATTATAAACATAATAAATCAATTCAATAAATAAGATCAAACATCTACAGTTTATTCAGAAACCATTGAAAAAAACAAAACCTTTAATTGGAGTTTCAGATACATTTGAGTCTTACTAAACCACTGTCCACATGCATGACTTCTGTCTTACACACAACACGGTTACTTCTGTAACACAATATGTAGCTGAACTGTAATAAACACCCTGCTGAAATATTAATGTATTTTTTTTTACAAAATTGCATTCACTCTGCTACCCTTCCATGGGTAAAGTTGTCGACCAGAAAACAAATGAAAAAAGGATCTCAGACTCATGATTTCCAAAGAGCCGTACAAAGACAGGAATGGCATTATATAAAGTGCTTAGAAATTAAAAAACGAAAGAGCTATGCACTGCAAAAAATACACATAACATCGCTATCATAACAGAGGCAAAAGGAAACAATTTGCTAACTTGGAGACAAATTCAACGCTTGATAACTTCAAAGTACTTCAAGAAATTAGGTGAGTTAAGGAACCAGCCTTAATCGAGCAACTATCGCAAATAACAAGAAAGACAATTTATAATTGGCATTTTGACAACCAATTAAAAAGGTGTTGTCCCCATCAGTCACTTGGACGTAATAAACAAAGACTGAGGCTTTAAAATAGTGTAGTTTGAAAATGTCACATAAAGAAAAGGAAGTCAGCTTTATTGTTTGCCTTACATGCAAATATAAAATATAAAATATAATAAAGAATATGAAAGAAGCCAACATAAAAAGTATAATAATATTAATACTAAAACTCCTTTCTGTTCTTTGGTTTAGCGCCTGGCTGACGCGCTCACACGTCCCTCAGAGATATATTGTTTGTTTTTAGTACATTTATTTCCATGTTACCATTTCTTCACTATTCGTTCTCTTCTTTAAACACAAATGAAAGGACTATTTAAATGCATATTAAATGCCCAGCATTCGGCGCCACTCGATGACGTAGTATACTTGAAATAGTGGCTATGCAGCAGGTATACTCGACATTGAGAAACGGCCAGAGTATAATCAGCAGGACTCTTTTAACCAGCTGAGGCATTGCAGCGCCAATCAGCCGCTCCGCCCAACCGCGTGTGCGGATCACGATCAACTGACACCAATTAATGACCTACTCCATTAAACGATTAAATAATCAAAAATAATAAATCATGGCTCCTACAAATACTAACAAAAATAAGGATTCACAAGAAACACGCAGTTATACGTAAACATTTAAGTTCAAAGTATGATATTTACTTTATTTGAAAAGGCACAACATTCAAAAACCTTTGAATTTTTTAAATAAATGTGTGTGTATACATGTCAGGACCATAAGGAGACTAATACAGAATCTTTAACATATTATCTAAGACATCTTTGCCAGGTTTTAAAGTTAACATTTGGTAATGAAAATGTTGAAATGTAATTATCAGAGAGGTCTTAAAGGTCCCCTATTATGCAAAAGTCACTTTGTGATGTATTTTCTACATCAACATGTGTCCCCGGTGTGTCAGGAGACTCTCAAAGTGTTAGAAAACAAAACCCTCTCTCTTACCCACATCTCTAAAAAACAGGGGAACAACGGAGCTGATCCAGATTTGCTGCTGTCATGACATAATATCGTAAATGTTGACGGGCTTTACATCTACTTGCACTTCAAGAAACGTCACTGTATCTGAACCAATGCGCGACTTGTTTTGGAAGTAATATGGTGTGTTTTTACATTAGCAAGCATCGCTAACACTCAGAGCTAATGCTGTACTAGAGAGAGTATTTGTAAAAAAGCAGGATATAAAAATATACTCACCTTGTTGTAAACCTGAGAGAGAAAAAGCATTTGAGCTCCATACTGTTTCAGAAATAATCCTTGATGTGGTTTGGAACATGATATGGAGTTTAATCACCGCAGCATTTAGCTGGGAATCTGCTTCTCTCTCTCTCTGCAGCTCTGCTGCATGTTCAAGGTTCAAGGTTCAAGGCTTTTATTAGTCATAAGTATATAGCTACAGTGTAGTTATGTAGATTAAAATATTAGGTCACAGCCTCCTCCAACAGAGAAAAACAATAAAACAGAAAAACAGAAAAAATAGTGCAAGTAAATAAAAAAATAAAAATTGTAAAAAAGTGAAATGGTGAAATAGTGCAATATGAGTCTATATACAAGTGATTGGAATATTATATATTAGATAAATAATTTCTGATGTGAGTTCCAATGGGGGCGTGGCCGCGTAGCTACTGACCCAGAATCAGCACTTTTGTAACAGCTGAAATAAAGGGTTATGAGGCTACAATGGGTGATCTGTTTGGTATTTTGAGCAAAACCCTTCAGAGACACGTTTTGTATAGATATGGCCCTATAATATATTGTTCAAATATAGCATAATAGGTGAGCTTTAATGGCTTATTTGTAAGCAGGTTTAACATGTATATTATGCTTTATACATAAATTGGTTTGCCATTTTTGTAAAGACAGATTTAAAAGACAGTTATTTGGGATGAGTTTTAACTACTCTTACTATTGAATTTATAATCAAGAGAAACTGTTCAAAAATTCAGAATCGTTTTTGCTTCTTGACATCATATAAGTGCCCTACATAAATGTCATATTATTCATAGCAACCTTTTCCTGTACTTGTTTTCATGATGCACAAGTAGCAAAAGAGAACACATAATAGTGCTTCAGCTGAGTGCTACATCCTACACATTTTCATTTTGTACATGTCGTCTTTTACAGATGTGGATCTGAGAGCACTCCATTCACTTGAAGAGCAGAAGACACACTTTTATTGCACAGACCACAAGTCTAAAAGGTTTTCTGATTAGAATGAACTAATATCTCTTTAGAGGCCTGGTCCATGTATCACCTGATTTTAAATTCACTACTTCAAAAACAAAATAATGTCTCAGTCGTTGTCCAAACAGCTTGCTCTTTCACTGAAAGACAAAAGCACATTGATAAAACCAGAGACAGGGCATCTACCTGTTTATATAATTCCACAGCAAGAACAAAAAATCGATGAAAAAGGGTGCAAGAAATTCAGTTTTGGGAAAGAGTCCCAACCTGGTATCCGTAATCGCACCATAATGGTTCTTGGAGCAACTGGGGCTGGGAAGACAACTCTCATCAATGGGATGATCAACTACATTCTAGCTGTTGAATGGGATGATCCATATCGGTTTAAGTTAGTTGACGAGGATCAGTCGAGATCGCAAGCTGAAAGCCAGACCTCTGAAGTCACTGTGTACGAAATCAACCACCAAGAGGGCTTTAAAATCCCCTGCTCTCTAACTATTGTTGATACCCCAGGCTTTGGAGATACAGGAGGCATAAAAAGAGACAAGGAGATCACAGAACAGCTACGTAGTCTCTTCTCTGCCGAGCATGGCGTCAGTGACATTGACGCTGTGTGTTTTGTAGCCCAGGCTGCTTTAGCTCGGCTCACTGCATCACAGAAGTATGTGTTTGATTCTGTGCTCTCAATCTTTGGCAAAGATGTGGAAGAAAACATCCAGGTTCTGGTGACATTCTCAGACGGCCAACCCCCACCAGTTCTAGAGGCGATCAAAGCTTCAGGTCTCCCATGTCCTAAAACAAAAAACGGGCTGCCAGTTCACTTCAAATTCAATAATTCTGCATTGTTTGCACAGAATCAATCATCTGCTGCTGCTGCTGACTCGAGCGCTGCTGCTGACTCGAGCGCTGCTTCTGACTCGAGTGGAGAGGAGGAAGATGAAGAATTTGACGAGCTGTTCTGGGAAATGGGGGCAAAAAGCATGAAGAAGTTCTTTGTTGGTTTGGATAAGATGAAAACCAAAAGCTTGACAATGACAAAGGAAGTCCTCGGAGAAAGAAAGCAGCTTGAGATCTCAATTGAAAATGTGCAAAAGCAGGTTAAAGTAGGGTTAGCTCAGCTCGAGGAGATTAAAAAGACAACTGAAACACTTAAACTGCATGAAGCAGAGATCAGCAGAAATGAGAAATTTGAGTTTGAAGTAGTCGTCATAAAGCCTTTTCAAGAAAATATTTCTGGCACTGGAGGCTTCCTCACCAACTGTCAGGTGTGTAATTTCACCTGTCACAGGGCATGTGCCTACGCCAATGATGCAGATAAAATAAAGTGTTCTGCAATGGGACCAGATGGAAACTGTACCCAGTGTCCAGGCAAATGTGATTGGAGACAACATTTTAACCAGAAGTACAGATGGGAGTATAGGGAGGTTAAAGAAAAGCAAACCGTGCAGGACCAGAAAGAAAAGTACCTGAAGGCCTCAGAGGCTAAAGGAACTGTTCAGGAACTAATCCACAACATGAATGTTGAATATCAGCGTGTTCGGACTGAAGTGGGGGAGATGATGAAGAGGTCTGCCGAGTGTCTAAACAGACTAGGAGAGATCGCACTGAAGTCAAATCCTCTCTCCACTCCAGAGTACATTGACCTGCTTATTGAGGGAGAGAAATCTGAGGCCAAATTAGGCTGGATGGAACGAGTCCAGCACCTGATGGAGGTGAGAAAACAAGCAGAGCTCATGGCTAAAGTAGGCAAAGGGGAAACCCTACTTTAAAGTCAGGAAGCTCTAACCTAGGGAGAATCAAGACCAGTGCCAACTTAGACCAAGACAAGAGTTGAAAATAATATCAAGTTTAAGAAGAGATTTAAGCCGATGATACTGATCCGGACTTGTTAGTGACTTAATAACCAAGGGATGATACCAATCATGGTCCTTTTCTTTCTTTTCTTACAAGTTGTTTTTTAACTTTCTTTTTTCTTAATCATGAGGGTTTCAATTTTTTAAAACAACTTCTGCAGCAAAGATGTTTTATGAATGTTGATGAATTTAAAAAGTAATCCTTGAAATAAATGCTGAATAAGAGACTGACCTGAGTTATAGAAGCCAGGGGAACAGAGGAATTAAGTCAGGATATTTTGTGTCTACGAACGGCATGTGTGATTTTGTTGTTGATTTGTTATGCTGTGTTGTAACGCCAAAGTAATGTTGTTTAAGCAATGTCAATAAAACGGAAAGAGTTTGAAGCCAAATATTTCCTCCAATCCAGAGTACATTGACATGCTTGCTGAATGAGAGTAAGCTGAGGCCAAGCCAAGTTGGGCTCAAAGAGTTCAGTGCCTGCTAATCATGAGAAAAAAACTATGAGTCTCGACACTTGAGAGACTTAAAATTCAATAACTTTGCCAACTTTTTTTCTATGTTTAAACAATTGTATTTTCAGGTTAACCAAACAGGAGATAACAGATTAACCATCTTTGTGTGAACGCATGTTTTGCATGTACTGTTCAGTTTGCAGTTATTTCCCCCTGTTATGATCATTTACATATTTCATGTATGCAGTTTACATTGCTCAATACATTACATTTAGCTGATGATTCTATCCAGAGCGCTTTACCATACAATGTTTTAAAAACATTTGTTGCTTAGTGTTTTTTATCTTCTCTTCAGGTATATATATATATTTTAAATATACTTAATGTGAACACTTTTAAACAATTATATTGATGTTTATTGAATTGCATGTTATTGTCCTGTAGTAATTAAGGGAGAGATGAAGAAATTATGAAATGATTAAAAAAGATATGGTATCTTCCTTAAGAGTTGTGTGTTTTTGTATCATTAGTCTTCTACAGCTAACTTTCACTGCTGGCATCAACTTCCACACAATCTTTATTTTCTGAAATAGTCCCTCTTTCGACTAGACTAGACTTTATGTATCACGATTTCAAAAAACTAATTTAATGAGCATTAACCCAATATATATATAGCTAGTGGGGCTGGTTAACCTGGTTGACATATGTAATGTATATTTAATATTATATTCAATATAACAAATGCATAAGAATAATGGTACAAACAACTGAAAAACTACAATTTACCCGAATAGTTACAAAATATAACTGCAGAAAGAAAAAGGAAAATATATACAAATATAACGAGAACGAAAACATAATATAATGGAACGTAAAATCTAAATATATGTTGCCCGACGTGAGTACATACACAGGACATTTCAATACACACAAATTCCCATTTTGTTTCCAACATGAATTCTTTATTTTGTTAGCAACATATATTCTGGGATTTACCAATGTCTTCTTATTTTGGCTTACCTCTCTTACCTAGGTCAGATCACTTTTTATGAGTGGTAGAACACACTTACTAGGATAAGACAACATTTCTTGTTTTTAAAGTCCAAAAGTTCTTGTTTAACAGAGAAACCCTTAAATAACATAACAAAACATTGAATATCATATATTCACATTTATATTATTAAATGTTTAAAGAGTATGCACATTAATTTCATTTAGGCCATAAGAAAACCTGAATGGCCTACACATAGCTCCAAGATGCTTTTTTTATTTTCCTGTAACATCAATACTGACGCTTTGGAAAATCACATGCTCACTTTGTGTAAGTTTATTAAATATTACCTCTATTTCACTATTGCTGAACTTCTTGATACTGACTTGCAGGTGGCCTTTACTAATAATTAACAATTGATGATAAAGTGGATTTATCATTCAGGACAGTTGGCTACAGGCAGATGTAGATGGTTAGGAATGTTTGGTGCACGATTATCCATTTACTTTGAAAACATCCATTTATTGAAAACAATTTTTTTAACAGTATGTTTTTAACAGTTGATTACCCTGAACTTTAAGTAAAATTCAACTGTTAAATAAATGTAAAAAAATAAAATAAAATAGTTTTATTTCGATTATGTTGTTTTCAAATCAAATCAAATCAAAGTTTATTTATAAAGCACATTTAAAAGCGATTTTTGGTCGGGCCAAAGTGCTGTACATGTAATAAATACTACAATCACATAAAAGCACAATCACAATAAAAGACAATAAATTACAACAGATATATAAAAAACACAGGGAAAAGTCAGGAGTCGTGCTCCGCTCTGACTAAAAGGCCAGGGAGAAGAAGTGTGTTTTAAGAGTAGATTTAAAAACCCCTAGGGTCTGGGCCGACCTCACATGGAGGGGCAGAGTGTTCCAGAGCCTAGGGCCAGCTGCTGCGAAGGCTCGGTGCCCTCGGGTTTTGAGCCTGGTCTTGGGCACTATCAGCAACAGCTGGTCAGCAGACCTTAAAGCTCTGGCTGGGGTGTAGCGCTGGAGAAGTTCAGCTATATAGGCCGGAGCCAGCCCATTTAGGGCTTTGAAAACAAATAAAAGGAGTTTAAAATCAATTTGGAACCGAATTGGAAGCCAGTGCAGTGAGGCCAGAATTGGGGTGATGTGGTCACGCTTTTTGTGGCCAGTGAGTAGACGTGCAGCTGCGTTCTGCACTAGCTGCAGGCGTTTAATTGGCGCCTGGTCCATACCCACGTACAGAGCGTTGCAGTAGTCCAACCTCGAGGTAACAAAGGCGTTAATAACCCTTTCCAGGTCTTTAAAAGATAAAAACGACTTGGTCTTGGCCAATAGTCGTATTTAAAAAAAGCAGGTTTTGACTACGCTGCTGACCTGCTTATCAAATTTAAAAGCGCTATTGAAGGTCACGCCAAGGTTCGTGACAGAGGGGAGGATATTATTTTTGAGGGAGCCCAGAATTTCAACCGGAGAGGCTGGAGGTTGGGGTCCAAAAAAGATAACCTCAGTCTTGCTCTCGTTGAGGTTGAGGACATTTTGGCTCAACCAGGATTTGATCTCTGCTAAGCAGTCCATCAATAGCTGTAATGAGTTGACATTTGAATTGAGTGGCAGATAGATCTGTACATCGTCGGCGTAGCAGTGGAAGGGGATGTTGTGTTTTGTGAGAATTGAACCTACAGTACAGTAGAAAAAGGATGGGGCCCAGAATCGAGCCTTGGGGAACCCCACAGGTAAGAGGGGCTTTGGCAGAGGAGAAGGCACCTAGCTGCACTGAGAAGCTACGGTCTGTCAGGTAGGACCTGAGCCATGCAAGGGCAGAGCCTGTGATGCCAGGGGACTGTTCAAGCCGTGACAACAGGATGCTATGGTCCACAGTGTCGAAGGCAGCTGTCAGGTCTAACAGCACCAGGACAGCTTGGCTACCTGAGTCGGCGGCTAGGAGCAAATCATTAAAAACTCTTAAAAGGGCTGTTTCAGTGCTGTGCATGGGTTTGAAGCCAGACTGAAACTTTTCATGGATTCCATGGATGGTTAAAAAAGACTGCAGCTGGGCGTAGACTACTCGCTCCAGGGCTTTAGATAAAAAAGCTAGCTGGGAGATGGGCCTAAGATTTGCGAGAATGGAAGGGTCGAGATTTTTCTTTTTAAGTAGTGGCTTGACCACGGCAGCTGGGACACATCCTGAGCTAAGAGAGGTATTTATAAGTAATAAAATACTTGCTCCAACTGATTCGAAAACAGCTCTGAGAAGGCGAGAGGGAATGATGTCTGAGGTGCAGTTTGTCGGCCGCAGGTGCATGACTACATCCGAGAGAGAAGAGAGGGATCCAGGCTCAAAGTGGTCGAGGACAGCAGGGCACAGAAAAGGAGCAGAATCTGGGGTAGTACTAGTGTGGGCTAGCCTAAGAGCAGATACTTTTTCAATAAAAAATGTAAGAAACTTATCACAGAGAGTAGTCGATGGCACAATTGGAGAAACATCACAGGGATTAATGATCGAGTTGAGGACTTTAAAAAGAACCTGAGGTTTATGGCTGTTTTTGGAGATTAACAGAGAAATGTGCTCTGTTTTGGCTGCTTTGACTGCCGTCTGGTAGTCGGAAAGGCAAGCACGAAGGATTTCTAAGGAGACATGGAGTTTATCCTTTTTCCATTTTCTCTCTGCACGCCTGCAAGCGCGTCTGAGAGCACGAGTACAGTCATTGAGCCACGGCTCTGAGAGAACTTTGGTGCGTCTAAGCGTAAAAGGAGCAACAGAATCCAGTATTAGTGTACATGTCGAGTCAAACATGGAGATAAGCTCATCAGCATTAAAAGCACAGTTCACATCTAATTTACAGATCGGAGAAGCATTAAAAACATCAGAGAACTGTGAGGCAGTCAAGGGGTTAATCGAACGCAGACGACGCGCAGGGGCACGTGATTCGACTCCTGCGGAAGGGATCGAGGTTGTAAACAGAACCGGTAAATGGTCTGAGATACGCGTTGCTGCACATATTTCATCCACAGATACAGACAGTCCAAACGATAATACTAAGTCCAAAGTGTGTCCTTTTTTGTGTGTTGGGCCAGCCACGGACTGAACGAGACCAAAAGAATCAAGGAGATTTAAATAGTCCCTAACCAGAGGTTTGGACTCGCAACACACATGGACATTGAAGTCTCCGGAGATCAAAACACGATCATATTTCACCATGATCCCGGACAGAAAGTCAGAAAAGTCATTTATGAAATCCTTATTGCACTTTGGCGGACGATACACGACAGCGCAGAGTATAGGCGAGGCCGGGTTCAGTTCAAAAAGCTGCAACTCAAAGCTAGCATAGCTAGTTACAGGGTGAAGCAATCGGCATTGGAGCCTAGCTCTAAACACTGATGCTATGCCCCCACCATGGCCGGTGGCAATTGAAGAATGTACAGTCAGGAGGAAGAAGTTCAGAGAACGGTGTATACTCGCCAGCGTGGACCCAGGTCTCCGTCAGAAACATCAAATCCAGTTCACGAGAGGTGAAGAAGTCATTTAGCAGGAACGTTTTGTTTGCTATCGACCTAGCGAAGGTGTAGTGCGTCTCAGCTGACGAAGATGTGCGTGTTGAACGCCGCGCAGCCCGGGAGCAGTCAGTCGGGCGGGAGGAGCTGTCTGCGGGCCCAGCAGAGGCCGCTGCTCTAGAAAAACAGGGCGAATCCATCTATCCCTCACATGGCGTGCAGCGGGAGGGCCATGACATCCGAGGCGTGGATAAGTCCCAGAAGAAGCCATCAGGTATAATTTTTGATGGACCAGTGTACCACCACGCTTTCCCCGTCGTCTAAAGCGCTTTCGGCGAGGCGGGATGCAGGGCAACCGGCGCAGGTAGGTGGGAATATCCGACAGTAGAGGGGCGGGGGACGATTTATGTTTGCCAGATGTAGGTTTGGGCAGCAATATAAACTCCAGTGAGGGTCTGAGGTGGAGGAGAGCTTGTCGATCGTAGACGAGCAGAGCAGAGACATTCTGACAAACATAAAACAAAAACAGGATAGCTAAAGGTAGAGAGCTGAGGGAGCGGCGAGCCGACACAGGCGCCATCTTCCCACACACTGGTCACAGCTGTTTTCATAATCGTTGCATACCAAAATCATAATTGCGATTAAAATTTGATTAATTAAGCAGCCTTATGTGACAGTGTTGGCTTAGATCGCAAGATTTCACCATTTACGATAAATCGTCACGATACGGGCAACCGTAAACAACACTTAAAGCTAAACCAATATACATAATGACACAAACACTGAAAAGGGTTGTATAAGAGCCATCTTTCCACCTTTAAGCTCTTTTCTGCTCTTTGGTTTTAGCACCTGGCCGACGCGCTCACACATCACTCAGAGATATATTGTTCGTTTTTGGTACATTTATTTCCATGTTCGTTCTCTTCTTCAAACACAAATGAAGGTATCTTACCAGACGT